CCCACAGTGTTGTAAAGTGACCGCTACATTATGAGCGACGCCCACTATTGTAAACATGTATCGAATAGTTTTTTCATTTCCTTTTACAGCTGTTAACTCAGAATTGAGGCTGCTGACCGCTACGGACGGTGATGATGGCCAAAATGGCCAAGTGAAGTATTCTTTGCTGCAGACGGTTTTGGAACAAAGCAAGAATGTTTTTGAAGTTGATTCCGATTCTGGCATGGTCACACTTAAGAAACAACTAGATCGTGAAGAAATTGCCGAACACGTACTTTACATAAAAGCTCAAGACAGCAACAGAGATCCTATACTGCGCCTAAGTGGTAAGTGGTGGTATGCTTCAGTAGAGGAAATGGTAAAGGTATGCAGCCAACAAAAAAATATAGAATGATGCAAGACATATTTTGGCTATTGTTATACTGGCATGGCTTAAGCCGATAGGAATAACCAGTTTGCTCTCAAATTCTTGACAGAGATGACGAAACGTGCATTCTTCTTTAGAAACTACTAAAAGTTTTCGCAAAAAGTCTTCTGAATCAATGTTATGCTCCTTTTCAGATGTTACAAAGCTGGTTATCAGAGTCACGGACGACAACGATAACAAACCGCGATTTTCTACCACCTCATATCAGGCCTTCATACCAGCCAATGCCAAATCAGCAGATCGAGTAGTTCATTTGTCGGCAACGGACTTGGACAGTGGCATAAACGGATTAGTATACTACAACATCACCGAAGGCAATGACAACGATATATTTGCAATAGACAGTTCCAGTGGACTTATTACACTTGGAAAAACACAGGTCGCTTCCGCTGCCCAAGAGAGTTTTTCTTTGACCGTTGAAGCTTTGGATGAAAATGATCAAAGTAAGAAAGATACTGCGACGGTTCTTGTTAATTTGTTCCCACCTGATGGTCCCCCACAATACCCATCTCCTTCGCTTATTTTAAACACCAAAGAAGGCCTTGCGGCTGGAAATAAGATTGTTTCTGCGGCAGCAGCTACTACTGAATACGTTATTTATGAGATATGTTCGGGGAGCGAAGATGGGGTAATTCAGATTGACCAGTTCTCGGGTGATCTGGTGACAGCACAGGAGCTCGATTACGAAAAAACGACTCAATACAAGCTGTGTGTTATGGCTCGAGACATCAAAGGCCGCACTGCCCAGCTGGAAGTGACTATAAATGTTCTAGACATCAATGATAACCCTCCTTTTTTTATTGATGCGGTTGATGGAAAGGTTGACCGAAAAGTAGAAGTGGGTATAAAAAAGGGTGAAGAAGTCACACAAATAGAAGCTTACGATCTTGATGGTACGTCATCCATGCAATATAGGCTTTCCAAGGAGGCAGAGCAATTCTTTTCCATTGATAATCAAGGTATCATAAGGGCAAAAAGGGCAATGGACGGTACTCTACCTGGAAAGAGAGCCTTAGAACCTCTATCGATCATTTCCTTCAATGTAGAAGCTACGGATAGTAAAGGTGTTGCAACCACACCTGTGCGTTTAGCGTTTGCAAATTACAATTCAGGTCAATCGGCGCTTGCTGTGAGTGTTCCCGAGAACACTCGCGTTGGAAGAACAATTGCCGAGGTCCCAAGATACATCCCTGGAGGCATAATGTTCATATTATATCCTGAACAAACTGTTTTTGATGTTGACGAAGATGGAAGAGTTAAGCTCGCGAAAGAGCTTGATTTCGAAACACAGGCAAAGTATGTCTTAACAGTTAGAGAGCAAGGAATGAAAGTCACAGGGCCGTTTACTAACGATGTTGACTTGGAGATTTCTGTTGAAGATGTGAATGATAACGATCCCAGAATTGAAATGAGAACAAAATATGGACGAATTAATGGCAACGCGAGAGCGGGTGCAAAGGCCTTACAGCTGAATGTTTTTGATGCAGATATTGGTCCAAACGGACTGGCGGGTTATCAGTTGATTTCAAAGGACACTCCATTTGGCATCAATCCTTTGGATGATACCATTGAAGTTGGCGGTGACCTGGCCAAGAGTCAGTATGACTTGGAATTATATCCCTTCGATTACGGTATTCCACAACGCCAGAGCTCTCCTATCAAAGTAACATTAGACGTTGGACAACTTCCTCCAAGGTTTGTTGACTTTGACGATGATGGCTATAAATTTGATGTACCAGAAGATGCCAAAGGTGGAACAGTCGTCGGTAAGATCACCGCTGTCAGCGCCTCAGGTAGCAGAGTTGGATACGTAATTGTGGAAGGGAACTCGGACAACAGATTTAAAGTAACAGAGAACGGCGAGATAAAGTTAAATTTTCTCTTGGACTACGAATCACAATCCAAGGTATATAACATGGTAGTGGAGGCTGTCGAGTTGATACCATCTGGACTCACTTCTACAGTCAAAGTAAAAATCTCTGTTTTAAATGCTAATGATTATTACCCAGTGTTCAAAGAAGGATCTTACCCGGCGATTGTTGATGAAGACGTCCCACTGGGAACATCAATATTGACGGTGAGTGCAACAGACTGCGATTGCAGCCAAGACTGCAGTTGTACGCCGGGCCAGCTACATTTTGCAGTCATAGACAACGATAACTTTACAGTTGACCCAGACACGGGAGTCATATCAAACGCCCGTTCTCTAGACTTTGAAAACCAGAAACAGCACATCTTTCGAATCGAGGTCTCAGACGCGCTAGAAAACAAAACTAACGTTGATGTGGCCTTTGTTAATGTTACATTAAGGAATACGAACGACAATCGACCTCATTTTGCATTCGCTGAGTACAGACTTATTGTCGACGAAGAAGCAAAGGTTGGTGAAGCACTGGGAGCAGTGGTTGCTCAAGACTTGGACCATCAACTCATCACCTACAACATTATCGTCGGAAAAGGACCTTTCCAGATAGACTCCAATACTGGTATTATATCTCTGCGAGAGAAACTTCCAAGCGAACCGTGGGAATACACTTTAACCATTCAAGCAAACGATTTAAAAAGCCAGAGCGACACTGAGGTCATCATTTACATCAGGGATAAGAACAACAATCATCCTGTGTTTGAAAAGTGTGACAATGTTACAGTGACTGAGAACCTTCCGGCCGGGGTAGTAGTGACTCAGGTGTTGGCAACGGACAAGGACCGCGGTAAAAACGGCGAAATAGAATACAGCATCGTGTACGGTGACCTCTTCTTTCAAATTGACAATACAACTGGTGTTATAAAAAGCATGCAGAGCTTTGACCGTGAACTTCAGTCAGACTACATAGTGGTCATCAGAGCAGAAGATGGTGGCCATGGAAGAAGTTCGTCTGAGCGTCTTCTCAGGTACTGATGACGCAACATAGGTGATACATAAATAATCTTATTTTGGGTGACCAAAGTATTTTTAAAAGTCAGTAGAGCGTTTCGAACACTGGCCTTTAATCTATTTTGCTCTTTATACATCCAACGACAAAGTGACATCTTAAGGTACAAAAACAAGGATTCTAGAGGTTGCTCCAAAAACACCGGGCTTAAGTAGTTCAACATTTCAAACTTCCTGATCTGAAGCCTTTCTTTTCGTATGGGCAACATGCAAAGAAGTAAGCACAATAAAGATTTCACGCCGGGTCAGCTTTACTCCTGAAACTGCAGTCTAGGAATAACTTTTACAGTTTTTGTCCGTCTGAGTTCAAACTTTGCAGGATGGTAGAACTTTGTATTCCAAATAATCTTATGTTTTTGGTTTTCTATTTTAAACTGGTTTTGGCGGGGAAATGACGTCACATGATTGACAGTAAAATTTAAACTTCAGCTAGTGACGTAAAAAATAGATAATTTGTGAAGTGCTCGACGGGGTAGTAACAAATGGGAAAATTTTTTTTTGAAAAGCTCAATTGCTTTAGGAGATATAACATTTTGAAATGTGTATCTTTGTAAAAATAATAAAAAAATGGTGGGAAATTCAAAAATCAAAGCTTAAAAACTATTTAACCAATTGAGCTTTTCATAACAATTTTCACAATTAATTTTATCGCGTTGTTCTCTTTAAAAATCATTTACTTTTTTACATCACTAGTTGAAATTTTAAAAAAAACCGTTAAAATCTAAAAACATACGATTATCTGGGATACAAAGTTCTACCATCCTGCAAAGTTTGACCTCAACCCGATATAAACTTAAAAGCAAGTTATTTCTAGACTGCATTTTCAGGCGTAAAGCTGACCCGGCGTGTTTATTCTTTCAGGTCGTTTTTATTTATCCTCACAATTCCAATAAACAATTTCTACTCAACACCTAACCATTTTCCAACCAAATGCATAGCTTTACCACTGGATATATAATCATACAACCCATAGCTCCCTGTTACTGAATGAAAATGACGACAAGCTAGTGCTGCAAACGTCAGTTTCTCTCTCTAGTTAAACTCAGTTTGTGATATCGACCAGTTGTCTTTTTCTTCGATGGACGTACTCTTTGTAAGTTCATGGCTTTGTGTCTGGTTATTTTTTTAAAACTTGAATGATTATGCTTTGATGGGTAGCGCCTGGCACCTTATCAGCCAATTATGAACAGTCCTTGTTTATCAGCTGTTTTGGCGAAATATATTATGAATTTTCTCATGTGAACACAACTAACGTTCTTTTATTGCCGAAATCAAACTGACGAATATTACATTTAAAGCATCGACATTGATGTTTATTTTCTAGCTGACTTCTATTTCACTAATTTCTGCTTTTACATTTTGTCAGCTACTGCCGAGTCAGAGTAGCAATAAAAGACTTGAATGACAACTACCCGAGCTTCCCAGCTTCGTCGCATGATGGAAGCGTATGGAAAGATGCTCCTATTGGTACATCTTTCATGATTGTTCACGCCATCGATGAAGACGCTGGGGGCAATTCCAAAGTTAGATATAGCTTTGTTGAGGCGAACGACAAGTTTGAGATTTCTGACAATGGAGTAATATCTACCAAAGTATCATTAAAGTCTTTCGTTGGAACATGGACTTACGAAGTCATAGCATCTAACACAGAACCAATGTCTGTTGGCGCAGGGAACTCTGAGAGTCGAACAGCGACAATTTCTATCTATGTTACAGAGCTACAACCTCCAAAGTTCACCAAATCAGTCTATACTGGAAGCATTGATGAAAATAGTGAGCCAGGTGTGTTAAAAATGTTAATAGCAATGATTACTGAATTATTGTATCAGTGACTCTCATAAGCCCAGATAAAATCTTTATGCAGAAAGCTTTGAAGTCGCCTCGTGGGGATGCAGCCCGAAAAAACCGTTCAAAGTTTTTTTGGGAATAGCCAGGCTTAGATCAAGAACAAAATGATCATTATTTTTAAAATGCTTATCTTATTCTGTTTTGCCACACAAGTTAACATTAAAATGAGAAGGAAAACAAAGAAGAAAATGGAGGAAACAATGACCAGAAGGCCTAAGAAAATAATGAAGGCTATGTTAATTGGGCTTCCTGTGGCATATATTTTGTAACAGCCTTGACTTCAATAGAGCTGTGTGCAGTTATTATTTATAGACCCGAAACTCAGTCATACAAACTGAAATTAACATTAGGGAATTCCTCATCTTTGTCTGACATTTTTCATTAAAAAGGGGAAAATGACAACACTCAGACAAAAAATGCAAATTAGTCACTTTGACGTCATTCGCGCGCAACGCTATTGAACGCGGTTTCGTAAAACATCGCCACCTGTCAGTGTATTGCAGACCAGCATTTGATATGGCTTCGATATCGGCAAAAATGTATCTGCACACCGCTGCAAATTTCGCTCAAATTCATTCACTATTTTTATTTCTATTTTTTTGCAGGTACATCCATCTTAAAAATCACAGCAACATCAATGAATGGTCAACCAGTAGCTTACACTCGGTTAATGCAGCACGGTAATTTCGATCACTTCGAAATAAAGGGGGACGGTACTATTGTGTCAGGAGAAGACTCCTTTGACTACGAAACGAGACCACTTTATCGCATGCAGTTCCGAGCACGCGAAAGCGATCAGCTATTTTCCACATGTCTTGTCGAGATCAAAGTCAAAGATGTAAACGACAACTCACCTAAGTTCCCAACGGAGAGGTATGACGGCAGAATTCTCGAGAATTCACCGGAAGGTACTCCAGTCATACGCGTTCACGCAAATGATGCAGACACGGGTGCTGGTGGAGAGGTAAGAAGTAGTTTAGATGGAACTGGTTACTCCGTTTTTGCGGAGGAATCTCATTACTTTGCCTTTTGGCTTTACCTCCTGAATTAGATGCAGATGAATCAAGATAAGGTCATGTGCTACTTTTAGGTGGTTGAATAGGTTTTCTATTTATATCTAGGTCAATGAAGGTCTTGCTTTTTTATTGCCTGAATAAAATCTAAGAAAAGAATTCTTTGGTTAATACATGTTGTCTAAGGAATAAGCTCTAACTCGCGGGTGACTTACAATCACTAAGCCCAAACGTAATTATGCTTTTTTGTGTGTGTCAGCGTCATTGCCCTTTTACAGACAACTTGACGGTTCACTTATCCTTGGCGCAAAAATCGTGTATGTTGATGAGGACACGTTATCCCTAGCCACGTTCCTAACCTATATAGCGTAAATGTGCGGCACCCAAATCGGTAAATTGATCTCTTCGTTTTTTGTGTCACGCGCGATAGCTTAACATTACACATTAATTAAGTTAATTGTAACCATGATTTATTTTACTGATACACAAGCTTCTGTTACGCTGTAACCTCATATGGTCAAGAATATACACCTTTTCCTAAATTGGTGGTATTATCCCTTTCATTTAAATTTATGAAAAGCAGCCCTATTTTCCTCCATTGCATCTGCAGAATTCAAAAGATCTCTTTCCGTGAATCCATGAAATGAGACTTGGAGGGCCAATTGTCATAAAGACTAAATAATAACTAAATTTGCAACCATTCGGAAAAAATTGTATACAGCTCTTTCCTACGGTAACGTTAAGTCTTCGCAGGGAATTATAAGTTAGTAAAAACTAACCAGGTTTGTTAATGTCATTTGTTAGGTCACATATGCAATAATGCCAACCCATGACTACCAGTATTTTACGATCGACTCCGTCACTGGTGTTATAAGAACTACACAAATATTTGATCGTGAAATCGCAGAGCAGGCCCACCTTTTAATTGACGTAAAGGCCACTGATAAAGGAAGTCCCCAGAGGAGTGATACAACTTTTGTTGACATCGAAGTTATAGATGATAATGACATGGCTCCTGTGTTTGAAACCACGGATTATTCTCTGGAAGTTGAAGAGGATGTTCCTCTTGGAGAAGTTTTATACTTCTTTACAGTCAAAGACAACGACGTTGCTCTGAACAGCATAGTGAATTTTTTTATATCTGAAGGTAATCAAGATCAAGCTTTTGAAGTGATAACTAAGTTTAAGCCTAACGGAGGAGAGCTTATTGTTGAAGATAAACTGGACTTCGAGGCTACGAAAACATACAGGCTTAAAATAATTGCTACTGATGGCAGATCAGCCAGTCAAACGGCGAATGTGAACATCAAGGTAAGAAATATCTTCCTTTTCAAACAATTGAAGGGTGAGCAATATGTTGTAGCACTCTCCTTGGCTGTTTTACAGGCAAGATTTTTATTACGGGCTGTTATCACAGAAAATGAGTATGAAGAATTTCTTAACCCTTCCTACTCGCAAACAAATAAAGTTTCTGATGGGAAGGGATTCATTAGAAATATTATTTTAAAAAAACAGACCTTTAGGGTGAGGCCCTTGTCTTAAGCCCATTAGAATACAGGGATGAATGTGAAACACCCTGGGAAACAGCTTTATTTTCCCCTGACAACTGAACCTCAGTCCAACGGCTATTTAGGAATCTAACTTGCTTGAAATCGTACGGAGTAACATGGGACTTTGTGGTTCTCTCACTGGATTGCCTTTTCTCGGTCCTTAATGCCAGGACCTTGTGACAGTGTCAGGTAGACTTTGCAAAGAAAATGTGACGAATGGGATGACGGTGCGATGCACGCAGATCTAAAAAGCGGCTTAACCAATGCCAGAACTTTAATTGAGCCCCAGAGGGTCGCATTCAGTACTTCTCAGCGTTTTCGCGTTCGCATTTAACGCTGCGTCCTTTTAGCTAAAGATGCTAATGCAGCTTTCGTGCTCGGTTAGTTAGGGTTGGTTTTTTAAAGTTCTCTAAATTTGAATGAGGAACACCTAACATATGGAAGAGACTGCAAAGGCTAGAATTTCGACTTTATGAGATTGTATATGGACACAAAACTGCAAACAAAAAGAACTAGGTTTAAATTGTCGCATTTTAATAGCCTCTCCCACCCAATAAAACTAGTGTGGACGCTCTAACCGCTGAGCTTATGGATAAAGAGGAGCGGTAAGTAAAGTCATGAGTAAAGTATATGATAGCTTAAAAACAATTGCGCTTTCTTTCTCTAAATTTTCCGCAAAATTCGCGATAACAATGACTCTCCCTTTTGCCTAGGTTCTTGACGTAAATGACAACGCACCAGTGTTTACCCAGCTTCGTTACCAGGCAACAGTTTTAGAAGGAAGTCCAGCTCGGCAACTGGTGCTTACTGTATCTGCCACGGACATTGACACCACGAAAGATGAAATTGTATATTCCTTGGACCAAACAGGTTTGCGGTACTTTACGATTGGAAGAAAAACCGGGGAGATACACACAAGTACAACTCCACTGGACAGGGAAAAGACTCCGGTGCTGAACTTCACAGTTTTGGCTTCAGATGGAAAACACACCGGAATGGCTGGAATCAAGGTGAAGTATGGTACTGCAACAGCGTAAGCCGCATGTAACCCACCCCACAACAGAACCTATAGTATCACGAGGACATTCATACCCTGAGTAAAGAAATGGTTTCTGATGAGTCTATTTGTTAATTTGTAAGGAGCTCTTGTAGAGTTTGAAGATGCAACTCATTATAATTCGCACTTTTTAACTGTAACCTTCATTCACTTTAGTTAGATCACAAATTGAGTAACAATTTTCGCAGTAATAAAAGATTGTTAATGGCTTGCTCTATCAGGAAGCTAGTGATCTAAAGTAAAAGCATTAGCATTGCACCAAATAAAATCGCAGTGGCATCCCCGTTTGGAGGAGAAGTCGGGTTAATGACCTCGCCTACGAAATAGACGGAAAAACCAGATAATTGTGGGCTAAAACTATAATATTTTTTCAGGCTTTTCAATAGCTAATACTTGACGGGGGGCGCATACTTCACCTGGAGGGATTTTCACTGAGATCCTTACTCACGGATGTTTGCCTTCTTTCCCGTAGCACCCGAACAGAACCCCTAATCCATTGTCTTCGGGCACAAACAGCCCAGGGAATATACCGTCCCTTACTATGTTCCTGAGGTAACCTTTTGTTTTAAACGGGTTCACCACGAGAAGGTAGTTATTCAGGAGTTAGGTGACCAGAGCATTAAGATTAGTCACCATTCACACCTTCTATTACACAAGATGTTCTGGAAACGTTTAATGCTTTAATTTGTTGGTGAAATCTTCCAATTGAACCGAGTGATTTTTGTACCATTGTTTGTCAGGTCAACATTACGTTGGTTGGCACTTGAATAGAATTCTAACATTTTTTGTCCCTCTCTCTTTAAGATTACTGTATACGATTTCAACGACCAAGCGCCATATTTTCCGAATCCACCATACATCGGTGAAGTGGAAGAGAACACACCTTCGGGGACAAGTGTTATAGTTGTACAAGCTGTGGATGAAGACGATCCTTCAACGGTCAATAACACACAAATAAAGTACACTTTAGATGACGACAGCAACGGGAAATTTGTAGTGGATGAAAACACGGCTGTTATATTTACTACTACAACTTTTGACAGGGAGAAGGACAACAGTGAATATAACATCACCATCAGAGCCACTGATCAAGGTGAACCACAACTAAGTGGAACTACAGTCGTCACCGTCAGAATTGGAGACGCTAACGATCATAGACCCCAGTTTAATCCTAATGAGTATACGGCGTCTGTACCGGAGAACGCTTACCCAGGATATTATGTCACGACTGTCAAAGGTACAGATGGTGATATCGGCTTCAATGCTGCATTAGAGTTTACTATCGTGTCTGGTAATGATCCTTATGCATTTTACATTGAGCCCAACTCGGGAAGAATAATGGTCTCGGGCAAGTTAGACTTTGAATCAAAGACGAGTTATACTCTAAAAATCAACGTATCTGACCAAGGGCGTCCTAAGCTGACTACCTTGGATCTTGCAACAGTGTTTATCACAATACTAGACGCCAACGACCACCCCCCTGTTTTTGAGCCAGATGTTTACCAGTTATCTGTGTATGAAAATTCGGCCGTTGGTACTTCACTATTGGACCTTACAACTACTGATGGTGACACAGCAATCGAGACGGAGTTGTTTTTTGAAGTAATATTTGGAGATCTCGCTGATATCTTTGATGTCAAACAGGATCCAGATAACCGATATGTAGGTATCTTATACACAACGGCTTCAATGGACCGCGAGACACGGAGCAGTTTTACTTTGGAAATAATGGCCAAAGATGAGGACGGGCTTTTTGCCATTTGCTTGGTCACAATCACAGTGTTAGATGTTAATGACAATGGACCGCATTTTGTTCCACCATTTTACGTTGGAAGTATTTTTGAAAATGTTGCTGATCCCCAGTTTGTTGTCACTCTTACAGCTTATGACCCAGATGAACCTTCTAATGGTCCTCCGTTTTATTACAAGATCCTTAATGGTACGGTCGATAATAATTTCGTTATACGACCAAACACAGCAGATGTATACTCTAATGGCATCTTCAAATACGAACAGAAACAAGAATGGAAGATCTGGGTAGAAGCGACAGACAGTGGTAATCCATCCATGACTAATGTGACTGTGGTCTACATTCGGATTAAGGATTCAATTAATAATAACGAACCCTTCAATGCTTCAATGACTATAATCTTGAATTCGTATCAGGGGCAGTTTGTCGGTGGGAACGTCGGTAAAGTGTACTATCAAGACGACGACTTTGAAGTAGATGTAAATGGTTATAAAATTTTAAGCCAAAATCCAGGGTCTTATTTCACTATTGACACAAACAATGGGAATTTATCTGCACCAGAGGACATTCCAATTGGTTCGTATAAACTATCTGTGCAAATTACAGAGAAAAATCGAAATGTGGCACAGCCTAAGCTCGCTTTTTGTGCTGTTTATGTAATCGTGCAAAATATTTCTCAGACAGCTGTGAGCATGAGCAACACAATTCAGTTTCTGAACATTCATAAAACAGCCTTGTTTGTTGGAGACTATTATTCTCTCTTCGAAACAATGTTACCCAGGTTTTTCACAGTTAACCTCCGCGGGGTCTCTAGGCCGTCAGATGTTTATATTTTTAACATTGAAAAGGACTCAAGGAACCCTCAAGCCATAAATGTTCAGCTTGTGGTGAGGAATGTTCTGTATTCTTCTGGGTTTATGAGCCCGACAGAGGTCATAATCAAGCTGGCGGAAAACAGAGAATCGCTCCAGAATATAGGTAAGATCAGTTATACAATTCAAAGAAGCAGCTGACCAAAATATTAACGATGGTCCCCCCTAACAGAGCACAATTACTTTTGATTCCTATATGGATAATTACAAAAGAAATAGGGTGTAACCATTTACTTCTCAAGGTTCATGATTAAGCAGACCTGATGCAAAAAAGGCTGTGTTCAAGTAAATGGTTATTTTCATATGTAATTGGCGAATGGAGGTGAGCTCAGGCTTTCACTTTAATAACTGGATAAGTATATCGGAAATCGGAACAAATCTATCTACTGAGCAAGGCTTTACAAAATACTAAATCACGAATCAGGGAATTAACCAACCATACAAGGATAGCTCTACACTGTTTAACTATTCCTTCATGTAACCATAGAATGTTTTACCAAAACGCTTATGAAAGGTATTTAAAGATCAGGGCAGCGCTATCCACCGGATAAATTACTATCCAGCGGATAAATATTAGGGAAAAAAATTGCGCTATCCAGTGGACAGAGATTTATACAGTCGATAGCGTTATCCACCTTTTGAACGACTGAGGCCATATGTATTTGAAATAGTCTTTAAGAATATTGTATTTGTGCATCGTCAACGGTGTTACAGGATTTTACAACATATGAAGATTCCTAACATGTTAATGATAACAAACTACAGGTTTAACAATTGGTGCTTTTGGAATTGACAACTGCGCTCAAGAGGTTAACAAAACTGGTGTTTGTCAGAACATAGTTAAAGCTTATAATACGTTCACCGTCATCAGTGGTGATTACGGTCAGTTTCCCGCTCCTCCAGTGTCTTTGACGTTTGTATCAGTCAATCTTCAACTACAGGCAGATTATGAGACCATACTAAAGTCACGTCCTCAGACATGCGCAGACAAGCCTTGCTTAAATGGAGGAATATGCCATGATGTGGAACCAGAAGGTTTGTATTGTCAGTG